CTCTCTCTCTCTCTCTCTCTCTCTCTCTCTCTCTCTCTCTCTCTCTCTCCCGTCTGTGAGAGCAGGCTCCTGAAAAACCACAGTCGTATCATGGAGTTTCCTCCGCCCCCCCCCAAACAAGTGAAAGATAGAACAGTGTCTTATCTCGGACATCGCACGTTTGTATTTTTTGCGTGCCGGGCATGTTACCTCGGACCATTATCCGGCAGCAAATAATACATCACGATGCTTAAGGCTGTGTGCCCTGGATGTCGCTATTTTCCCCTTAATGTCGGGTAAACTGATTTTATCAAAACAAAACGACACACTATTTCCTCCTCAACCTTTCATTGCCTTCTCCCGTGGTGTTCCTGTCCTGATCCTCTTTATGATTTAATGTGTTCAATGCCGTTCCCAATTTTATCTTCGCAATTTGGCAGTTTGAATTATCTGCTATCATGCATTTATGTGCATGAGTGATGGTCCATTCAGGGCATACGCACACTACAGAGCTCTGGACGTGATTGCAGTCCGATTCGTGCAGGTCTAACCGTAATTGAGTTCATATGCATTTGGGAGAGTGCCAGTGTGATCACGCCTTCAATCGCGTAAATGATCCTCAGTAACCCCGCGAGCGCAATGAGGTCAATCCAAGGCCCATCCATAGCAGCGATACCAAGCATCAGAAACCGTCCTGTAGGGAACAGCTTCACGAAGCGAGAGAATTACCGCAGTCCTCCGCAGCGAGATGGACACGACTGGAGCCATCCATCAACTGTAAGACAATGGCAAGAAAGAGCCGTCCATAAACCAAAAAAAAAAAAATACAGCCGTCCTATTGAAAGCACTCATCTACTCACAGACACAGGCCAAAAGAGAACCGTCCTATAAAAAACAGCCCCCGGAAGGGCTGAACGGCAGGTACTCCATCGTCGGGCACTTGGCGGCCGGAGGGAGCTGCACTGCGGGGGAGAGTATTGGAGAAAACTAGGTCCAAGGGGGCGGGGTAAGGAGGGGCTGAAGGGTGGGGGAAGAAAGGGGAGCGCGGGACTCCCGGAGGGGGATCTACATCGGGGGCTGGCCGACTGTACTGGGAGGGACTGCACCAGAAGGGCTGAATGGCAGGCATTCCATCATAGGGCATTGGGCGGCCTGCATCTGGGGAACTGCACTGCGGGGGAGAACGTCGGAGAAACCTATGTCCGACAGGGGGGGGTGCGGGTGGGGTGGGTGTAAGGAGGGGCTGAAGGGTGGGCAGAGAAAGGGGAGCGCGGGAGTTCTGGAGAGGGGACTACATCGGGAGCGGGCCCAAGTGTACTGGGAGGTACTGCAGCACGGGGGGATGCATCTGTGAGACCGCATTGAAAGGTGGGCCAGATCCATTTCGGTATGAATGCATAGCATGAAAGGTGGGCCAGATCCATTTCCGTATGAATGCGCAGCATGAAAGGTGGGCCAGATCCATTTCCGTATGACTGCAAAGCATTAAGCGGATAAGGTGGGCCAGATCCATTTCCGGAAGGCTGCACCAGGGGGATCATCATGATCTCGTCGAGAGACATACATCGTGCGGGGGTCTCGGCCCACATGCTGCGTGTAGTTTAGTTTTCTACAACAGTGTGACGAGAGAAGGCGGGAAACGAACGTTGAATCATCCACGTATTTGGTTTCATTCATCTAGTCCCATCAGGATTCGAACTCACGTCTGCCTTTCAACAGAACATGGTGTACCACGTCCTATTCCTCCTATTGGACAAACCCTATCCTTGGGCGCGGACGTGTCTGCAGTCATTCTGTGACAAAGAAAACCTGGCCTTACCTTGCCCCGCGCATTCACTAAAGAGAAAAATCCCCCGTAGTTTGCTACCCCAAAAAATCTCACAGAATACTACAACGCCCGTGCCTCTCCCTCCCTTCCCAACATGACCCCAACATGATGCCCCAACCAATCACAAAACGGTAGGCCACTGGCTCCCCTTCCAAAAGGTGGGATGTGTAATCCAACCGTCCGTTTGCGAGATGATCTACGGTTCGCAGTGGTCCCACAGTCACACAGTTAGTAGAAAACTAAACTACACGGAGGCATGTGGGCCGAGACCCGGGTCAGAACAAAGGGATTGTGGATTGAACTGCAAGGATCGGATCCGTTGGATCGCGTTCCGTGCGTCATATGGTACAGACCACATCGCATAGACCTGGCCATGGGGGTACTGGATCCCCCCTATCCTATAGGAAGGTGAAAATCAGAACGAGTGAAGAGAAGCTACTCAACGCGGATTCATCAACTTATATCTGGACATGAGGGGACTGGATCTTGAGAAGAAGGGGAGACCAACGCTTATCTGTCCGAGGGGATCTGATTGAGGATTGGGTTCGCCGGGTTTGGGTAGAGGGTTACCGAATCCCAATGGATTGCATCCGCGATTGGATGGGGGGGATCGAACTTGGTCACTAACGTCGTTTGAGATGTCTATTGGAGGGTTTGAAATTTGGGGCAATGGCTTAGATGCAAGGAAGAGAGCGGGGAAGGTGGGGGGGGGGGGGAAGGAAAGGGTACTGGATCATGAGGGTTGGATCGCCAGACAGGATCAGCAATAGCGTCGCGGGGATACGCGGACCTGTGGCAGGGTCATAGAGAAAGTCCGGAGACGAGACTGTCTCGAAGAGATGGCTGGACACCTCAGGAACCGATTTCAGTCAGTAGTGAGAATTGCTTGGCTTCCCTTCCCAACAGTAAGAAATCTGAAAGAGAAAGAAAGAGAAAAGAAACGAAAAGAAACCTCATTCTTCGTGCTTATTTTGCACTATTCGACAAAAAACAAAAAGCGCATACCTTCTTGTGTCGATTCATTCCCACTTTTCACTTCGAACTTGCCGTCATCTTGACTGGTTTGGTCGTCTGCTTAGTGGCCTGCTTGGACCAAGCAGAAAGACTACCGAAAAGCAGATGATCGGCTTGGTCATCGCTCTTTAACGCTGGACATAAGAAAAGGCATCACTCAGTCTCTGACATTTTCCTTAGGATCGCGTGTAAGAAACGGCACGACTCGGTCTTCTTCGACCTTCTTTAAGTGGGGGCATAAGACCGGCATTCTAGAGACGTACTCACACTACCACTTTTCCAAGTGTATTGAACCGCACACACTAGCACTTTTCCAAGTGTATTGAACCGAAATGACGGCCGGACCTGGATTCATCTGACTTCAATCAAGTCCAGAGCTGAGTCGAAAAAGTCCCATTCTGAGTGTGCCTTAAGGGTGGGGGGGTGGGGGGGTGGGCGGGAGAGATGTCCAAGACGGATTTGCCCGCCAGAGAAAGAGGACCAGTAACGACGTGACCACCTTTTATTCTCCTTGGCTGTCCAGCGGGGCTCGCCAGCAGAGCAGGGTTTGCTTGCGGGTGGGGGTGCCTCGGAGCATCCGCTAAAAAGAAAGATGGGGATGGATTACCACCAAAACCAAGGACGCTGAAGGATCATGAAGACAGCATGGCCGATACCCAAGGACAATGAACACATCGAGAAATGATCCCTCCCTTCCCCCGAAAGAAACAAAGAGAGAGATCACGAGGCGGAGAAGGATTACCATGGTAGACGATGTGAACAAATAGAGACATCAGGCAGTGATGATGTGCGAGACTAAGCGGGGGCTCATGATAGCCTTTGGATGATGTGAGACTTTCCCTGCGAATACTTACGGAGAGAGTGATAGAAAATGTGACGATATAAGTCGCATCGCCCACATGAACAAAAAATGTGCTTTATCCGATATCGATCGGCATGTTTAGTGGACTCTCTCTCTCTCTCTCTCTCTCTCTCTCTCTCTCTCTCTCTCTCTCTCTCTCTCTCTCTCTCTCTCTCTCGCTCGCTCTGCGTGTGTGTGTGTGACGCGCGCGCACACACAAACACACAGATCTCCTGCGTTACCAATGTCAGTCAAAACCTGCGTCTTCATACATCTCTCTCTCTCTCTCTCTCTCTCTCTCTCTCTCTCTCTCTCTCTCTCTCTCTCTCTCTCTCTCTCTCTCTCTCTC